TGATTTAAACCACAGGGTTACAAAGAACCAATGGATTTCCTCAAGGTCTATTGCACTGATGGATTCTCTTAAACTCATCCCATCGGGCTCTGAACACGATGAAGAGCGACAAAAACTCAGATCTAGGTTAAGCAAAAGTCTAAGGAACGACCGTGAGCAGTGTTGTCAACGAAAGCAAAAGAGATGGAAAAGGCGGCAACTATAGGGAACACAAGACAGCCCTACAGACTAATAAAAGAAACTGGAATTAATAAATCAAGTGTAATTCGGACTAGTTCGGAAAAAGACGACACCCTCATCTGCTCCCAGTCCAGACGTTTAGAACGATGGGCGGAACATTTCAGAGAACCGTTCAGCTGGCCTTCAGCTACTCTACAAATACCCTCCATTCCCAGACAGTGTGAATGGAACATTGAAATAGATCCCCCGACTCTTGCTGATGTTCAGAAGGTTATAGCTAATCTGAAACAAGGAAGAGCAGGTGGATTGTCTCCAGAGGTCTTTAAGGATAGTGGTCCAATTTTAGCGATTAGGTTGACTAATATTTTAGCTAAGATCTGGGAGTTAGACGTTATCCCATCTAACTGGTCACAAACACTTATCGTCTCAATATATAAGAAAGGGTCAAAATCATCCTGTGACAACCATAGAGAGATTAGTTTAATTAATATAGTATCTAAAATATTAGCCTAGATAATTATCAGACGCCTAAGACTCGTGAACTGCAAACACGAGAGACTCAAGCTGGCTTCAGACCTGGTCGTGGCTGCATTGACCACATATTCACCATTCGTCAGATTCTAGAACACAGGCATACTTATCGGCGTCCGACAATGGTGGTCTTTCTCGACTTAAAAGCAGCATTTGACTCGGTAGACCGCGAGATTCTGTGGCAGTGTCTGTCATTGAAAGGCGTACCACAGGAGTACATAAACCTTGTGAAGGCTCTCTACTCGAACACTACTAGTCGAGTCAGAGCTTATGGCGAACTGTCATCTACTTTTGCAACCTCAAGTGGTGTCCGTCAAGGCTGTCCACTTTCCCCATTTTTGTTTAACTTCATCATAGATCTACTGATGGAAATAACTTTCTCGTCGATTGAGTTCTCGGGTATTGACCTCCTACCAAAAGGTCCACTTATCGACTTAGAATACGCAAATGACATAGTCCTGTTTGGTGAGGACGCTGATAAAATGCAGTCTTTTGGTAACACTAAGCAACAATGCCAGAATGTTTGGAATGCGCTTCTCTTCCTCTAAATGCAAGTTGTTGTTTCAGGACTGGTCTGCGTCAACACCTGAACTAAGAATAGGGAGTGAAGTAGTCGAACGCGTTGACAACTTCACTTATCTTGGAAGTCTGATCAGCCCTAATGGGTTGGTGTTTGACAAAATCTCAGCTCGGATTCCAAAACCTCGTTTACCGCGCAGAATTTCGTTCTGTTCTACTTTTCCACCGCGAAACATGGCCATTAAGAGTAGAAGATACTCGTAAGTTACTAGTATTTGACCACAGATGCCTTAGAAATATTTCCAGCATCTACTGGGATCACCGGATAAGTAATAGTGAGGTTAGACGCAGGGTATTAGGGAACGATGGTAAATCAGTTGATAAGGTTGTGAATCTTTATCGGCTGAGATGGTTGGGCTATGTGTTGCGTATGCCTGAACACCGATTACCACGACGTGTAATGCTAACTGGTGTTGGAGATCGTTGGAAGAAAGTTAGGGGCGGCCAAACCAAAACGTGGCATCAGTGCTTGAAGTCACTAACTTCTAGTCTTAGCCATGTTGGTAGACGAAGACTACTCGGTTGGGGTCCACGTGACTATCGTAACCAATGGTTGGAGACTCTTGGTGACATGGCTCAGAATCGATCACAATAGCGTAGATGTATACACTTTTTGTTTTCCCTTAAACAATGAGATTAAAATTGCTTTTTATCTTTCGTTCTACAAAATGATTCTTTTTTCTGTATTATATCCTTATACACAATCTTTCTTTAATATATTACTACCATTGAAGTAACTATTTCTATGAATTCGGCTATCATCCTTTTGTGCTAATGAGGTATGGCAACTTGGACCGATGCATATATGTGCCTGATCCTACGTTGCAGCTGACTGACTGACCTTTGTTTGAAAAATTTGTTGAGCACAGTCGGTTTAGTTATGTAGGTTTTTAATCAATAAAAGGGGGGAGAAAACTGAAATGTGTTTGATAACAGTCGAACAATTTAAGAGTCCCGAATCATGTTTCATTGAAAATTTAGCTCCCATACGAAAGTAAGATGCTTCGGTGAATTGAAACATGCGTTACTTGAAAATTGTTTTTCTATATAAAATCTCGTAACTGCAGGTAAATAACACTCCCGTTATTAGGAAATGAGGTCGACTGAACAAACTTTTCGAACATGTAAGAAGCTCCAGTCGGGTAAAAATCAAAGCTATAGTGCTGAAGGATGAACATATGTCTACGAGTACAATACTTTTAGGACCAACCATTACTTTACCTCAGTGGAAGATAACTTAATATTACTAAGACTCCGAACATGACATAGGAGGATAAATAAGATTAACAATTTAATGAGAACTAAGCAATTGCTACCTTGAAATGCCTAAAATATGTTTCCCATTACAATAAAAACTATTGATTTAAAACAATAGGTCCGTTGGATAAACTTAAATGATGCGATGAGGAGACGATGTTTATTAGAACTAAGTGGGATATTAGTGCCATACCTTTTGAACGCCCCCAAATGCCCTGGTACGGCCGAGAGTGGGAAAAGGCAGCTCACCCTCTCGAAATGCTATCACATGGCCACAAGTATACCGCCACTACCAGGGGAGTCCTACTCACTGCCTTCTCGTGGCGGAGGTGTTTTTTACGAAATTCAAAGGACGGGAAGCGAATGCCCGGCACTTTAACCGGGTTGGTGGGCATGGAGGATCTATCTAGGGGAGTTGGAAAACTCTGATTCCAAATCAATGGTGCACATGAGCTCCAGTATCCTGAAGGAATAAATGGCGTATGAACCAAACGTTGGTCATCGGTTACCATGGAACTGCGTCTCCTGACGTTGCCTTGTGGATCAGGACTTTAGGTCAAAGGCTCCGGGTGTGGCCCCTTAAGGAAATCACCTGCTTCGGTTTGGGCACCCAGGCAGTATCACAGCCCACACACAAACTAAGTGACTTGTGTGGCGCATATGCATCTGGTGCCCCTTTGTACCAATGTTTGTGTTTAAGTAAATACCTTCTGAACAACCTGATCTCACACTAAACATCTACGTTATCCATTAGAAAAGCAGCAAACTGAACCAATGTGGAAATGAAGACAACACAGATAATAAGAAAAAATATACATCACACCAATCTGGATGCTAAGTTTAAGGGTGATATCAAAAGGGTAGGCTCTAAGTAAAAACGAAATATCTCTGAAAGAAAAAGGAGTTTGAATCTTTGTACAGCTAAGTTCAGAATAAACCTTAGTATTTGTCCTAAATCATGTTTACACAACACGATAAAAGTTGATTTGAACTCAATAATGTGACCCATGTTTGATAATGTGGGAAGATGACTATTAATCATATGCCATATTCTACAATAACTGATTTCAAAGTAACGCATTAACAACGTTAGGTGCCGACTCATTGGTTTAGAGGTTAAGCGTTTGCGCGCGACTGATAGGTCCAGGGTTCGAGTCCCGCGAGACGGGATCGTGGATGCGCACTGCTAGAGTCCCATACTGGGACGAAACGGCTGTCCAGTGCTTCCAGATTTGTCATGGTCTAGCTTCAATGGGCTCATGAATTCAACCATTAAATCATATAAATGTCTAGGACTCACTGAAGAAAGGTTCTTGAAAAATTTCTTCGGCATACTCTCACCAAAAAGTACAACATCTGTAAATAATTTAACTGGAATTAAGCAGTTACCAGGTTTGACAACGTCTTTGCATTCAAGACACTTAGGCACTCTTTTGGCTAAAATTTCATCTACAAACAGAAAGAAATGTCATTTACTTTGAATAGTAAATACTTAGCATAAACTCGAAATCATGCAGTTTCTTGCACTTAATACAGTGTCCTGTGTGAAATGTCCCATGGGCTTCAACCAATTTCTCCTCTGGTAAACCAGATAAGCGTTCCAAACTATCACAGTTCTATGAGAATAAAAACTGGATGATAATGCGTTACATTACCTGTGTATAATGCCTAAGAAGTAAGCCTTTTTCATGAAGTAGCCTGATAAAACAATGAGCCAACGTAGGCTAAATTTTGATATTATGTAATGCGTAACACGTGCCTTTGCTTCTGGTCGATACAAACGCCTTGCAATCTCAAAGAAAGGTCTAGGATCGTTCTGGAAAAGAAAAAAACCAAGCTTACTGACACTAGAAACACACCTACTCGGAAGTAATCAATCGAGAATATTGCGTTCGGAGTAGGCAAGTTAAAATCTTCCAAGTTGTCGTATATGCCAGAAGATGGGCTTCGAAAATCAGGTATTCCAGCAGCTTTATTTTTTCAAAATAAAAAATACATGAGTTGTGAAATAATGCTCACAAAATTTCTATGGCAAAACAATTGACCGTTGAAAGAATTGAGAATGATATCAAGCGGAGAGCTTAAGTTAAGAAAGGTGCTCAATCTCCCTATTTGGGAGGTGTTAGCGGGACATAGACTAGATTAAAGCATGCTCAATGCATGATTGCTTTGGTGCACGCTGGTTGGCTAATTCTTATCCAATCAGCACTAGTCGATAGTTGGAGAATATTCTGGAATCTTCTTATGTAAAAAACTATAAATATACCGACGTTTTCCCCCATTGTGCTTCTGACTTGCTAATTGGAATATAATCTCTTTCCTGTTCAACCGTGTTCTGATTTGGGGACTTGTCGAGTGAATCGGTGTCCGAGAATACTAAGCAATAGGAATAGCTGGGTCATAACCGTAAGAAAACAGAGTTATAACAGGAGGACTTTGGGTAAGTTCTGTGGTTTTGTCTAAAGTTGTGATAAGTTTGCTAGCTATCCCCAAAGTTTGGGGGAAACATTTTGGGGATTGTCCCCAGATCTAGGGAGATTTTGGGAGGTTTGTGCCAGTTTCCCAAAGTTTTCTATAACAGTTTCCCTAAAACGGACGAAATTTTCCGGAAATAGTGAGAATGGGTGTATATCCAAACGACTAGTAATCTGTGATTGAGATACCTGTAAATGCACCTTGAGCCGAGAATGTTTGCATTTTTATATACTCCATTATCGTTAGAATTCGAATTAATAGCTAGAACCTTAAACCTCATTCCAACATTAATCACTCAGTAGTTTTACTTGTCTGATAAACTTATCAGGGTCCTTTACAGTAGCATACGCAAACATGACCCATGGAAACCAGAGTGACGCAACTCTTAATCCAGGAAACACCAGAGAAGAAAATATTACCTGTTGACACGCCAGCACCAACCATCGTTATTATTTTGTTGACTTGACCATCCTGGATTAATTGTGTCACACCTAACAGAATATGCTAAAACAGTTAAATTTACCCTCTATATCGAGAGACCCAAGTTTTGGTTGAGGCGTATTATCTCCAAACAGTGCTTTCTTAATCCTCGAAAAGTTGAAAGACATGACGAAGGAGGAACAGGAGAAAACGTCAGAGCCTTTCGAAGCTACCCGCCGTTTCGTTTAGCGACCTTGAACGGCCTAACAAGATTCAAATGGTTCAAATGGTTGTGGACGGAATAGAAGCTTTCGCTTAACAGGCTTCCGTGTCTAGTAGCAGGGGATCACCAAATCCTCCAGGCAGGAACCTAGGTATGTTAACAATAAAAGAGGAAAAGAAATTGGTAAATCATAGTGTGATGCTGTCCTTGGTCCTTAAGAATAGGTCAAGTTGCCTCTTAAAGGACTCCTGAGAAGTCGCTTGGATTGTGAACAACCTATCCTAGGTCTAGAGAATTTAAAAATGCTTTAGGAACAGCTTTCCTTATTGACCACTAAAGATAGCCCTTGTGAAGTGCTTGATAACTTACTGACTACGGAATCAAATTTCGAAAAATAACGCACAACTCCTAAGCCATATTATTCTCATGTGCAGACGCGAATTATCAATACCTTGGTAAAAAACGTCAATTCTAGTACTGGTGCAGAATTCAAAGATCTGGAAACGAGAGCAGATGCAGTCCTTCAGTGCAGAATCGTTAAACCGTATGCAAAAGAAACAATGAAATTGTTTGCCGCAAAAATCTTCGTACAAGAACTCCTTTTCCACAATCTACAAATTATCTGCTAAAACAGGTCAGCAAAAATTTGGTTCATATGTAAACCAGTCATAACAACCTAAGACGTTACAAAGACCAAGGCGAGTTCGTTCCGATCCTCGTTGTTAATTCTAATACTGACGAGAAAGTTCTAAATCGTAGAGTCTATGCCTAAAAAAGCTGGCCAGACACATGATAAACTTACGAAGATGCACAATCGATTACATGAGTTTGGATTTTCATTTAAGCTGTGGTAGTTGTAGTATTTGTAGGAACTAATGATACCTTTGTACTTGAGTGTGCATTTATTAAGAATTCCAATTACAGTACGTTCGATCGTGTTCATCTACTTCTGCCTACCATACAATGTTCTATTTCGGGAATCCTTAGTACATTAATCCGAATATTTCTAATCATAGCTAGTTTTACTAATAATTCACAATTCAGGTAATATAGTTTAGATTGGGTTTTGTTTTGACACATCAATGCAACGATACCCACACCAAGAGGATACATCATCTTCAGTCTAGACCCACTTATTCTCATGAGTGAGACGATTGACACGCTATGTAGTTCCATCTGGGTACGATGCAACCCTTTTATCAGTCAGCTGACAATTATATTAGGTATCATTACCAAGGTTTGATTTGATAATTTCGAATAAATTGAGCACTGGGTAGATTGTTATAAATAAATAATATATTTGTAATATTTCAATGAGTAGAAAATTAGGTTTTCTGACGTTTCGTGACTTAGTGTAAGTCACTTCTTCAGAGAATAAATAACCAAATTAAAATTAATCCAAGTTTAAATAGTACAACGGAACAGTAAAAATAATATGTGATCAATCAAGAACAGGTCTGAACACGTTAACGTCATGTCATTTCGGTCAAGGAGATTCATAAGTGATATGTATGTAAATTTGTGTGTATGTATGGCTACCCTGGGCTCCACATCTCTAGCCAGCTTAGTTCTGTTACTTCACCATCTATCGACAACATATCAAATATTTCTTCGAACTTCTCTTCTGAAGTCACTGGGTTGGCACGTTTCAGTTATAGTTCTTAACGGTTAAAGTGTTGTCAAACTCCATATACTAGTGTCATCTCCACTTAGAAGATCTAGAGGAGGAGTTATGAAGCTACCACATGGGACCTCAATGTTTTGTTCGGTATCTAAGTATTGTACAGGTGATGAAATATGTCCTGAATATAAGAACTTAGTGCATCCCAAGTGCTTCGAGAGAAATGGTAGTTATCCGCTTAGTTCTGTTGTAAGCCTGTGCGAAACTTACCTTCATTATTTGGACGGATTTCGGTGCCTGGAGATACATGTCGACGGCATAATCGAAATTAAACATACGCAGATTCGAGTGGACAATTGTTTCTTTCCAGTATTTGTGAGAAACTAACTCTTAAAAGGTGGTTGAGTAACTTTTTGCGATAACTGCGGATTCTTCTTCACATACAAGGATCTAATCGTATGCACTGTGAAGAAAGAACCCGTAATTCCCACAAAATTGAAGTGACTACATAAATACCTCGGTCACATATAACTTCTTGTTGAACCGAAAGCACTATTAAGACACCATAAACGCATTCAAATCAAAGGTCCAAGTAAGACTGTGTACGTGATGAACTTGTAGTGACTCACTTTTATCACGAGAACACGATTGGTTTATTGAAAACAATTATTATTATAACCAATTGTACCAGTGACTGCTTTTGTTTAACTGCGCTAAAAAGCATCCATTATTCTTACACTTTGTTGTGACTTCGCGCGAATTCGTTTACATTCTGTAACCAAGCTTGTATCCTGGCACGATCTCGGTATCCTTTCGATACCACGAGATCGCCAGCGAATATATCTCGATTTGGTCCATTAACAGCCTTCTGATATTTGGCTTCCGGGGGATTTTTTGGAGTCATTTGGCACGAGTTTCTCTGTAGCGGTGTTCATAGTCAATTGGGACTCGACGCCATGCTACAAATTCATCTGTCCTAAAAGCGAACTAAACTGAAACGAACACTTGGTCTGGAGTACTTGGTGTTTAGACTTTTATCAAACAATCAGTACACAGGTAAACATGACATAAAGGGCAAGAAAAATAAGCAGAAGTATGGGTCCCCTCGCACGTGTTACGCGATATCGAGTGACTTTATTCCTCATCTGTGGAAAGAATTCTTGCCATCTCACACAAGCTTTCGTAATATTTGTGTTTATCATCTACCCTTTATCCCAGTAAGTTGTAGTTTGACTTAGTTTTTGTTCAAATTTAATTTATCAATCTAAACCCAAGCAAATAAATTGCATTGTTTATTCAGAGATAGAGTATTGTAAGGTTTTTTAAAACGAAAATGGGGTCTAGAGATCTCTTACATATGCTTTACCACCCTAAAAAACATTGATGAACAATAACATCCTTTATCAGAGTAAATACAAACTTTAAAACACCATACAGTGTACAACCATAAGAAATCCTAACCACTACGTGTCATCACATTTTGACGGAACAGACATTAATACCATTTCACAGAGGGGGGAGTACTATGTTTCCATACTCTAAATGGGGACGGATGAAACTATTGAAGATTGTATGGAAAGTTTGTCCGTCAAACCGTCCAAAAATGCGCTTCAATGTTACCAGTGCAAGGTTTGCTCGGAAGGCATTTTTGTCAAAGTTAGCGTAAGACTTTAAGTCAAGGGGCACCAGGACGCCTAAATCTTTTTCGACTTGGGATGCTACTAGAGAGGAGTTTCCTAAATTGTAACTGTAGTTTGCGACATGTCGCAGATGGACTACTTTAAACTTTGAAGTGTTAAAGGTAAGTCCGTTATCGTCTGCCCAACTTTGAAGTCGAGTCAGATCCTCCTGAAGTGCCTGTATATCGTCTTGGTTGCGTATCTCTCTCCAAAGTTTCACGTCGTCGGCAAAAAGTAATAAGTCTGACGTTACCTGTTGATAAAGATCATTTATGTAGATCAAGAAGAGAAGAGGCCCTAGTACTGAGCCCTGGGGGACCCCACTAGGACATTCCATAGCCTGAGATAAAGTGAAATTAACCCTAACCTTAAAGCGTCGATTTTTTAGGTATGAAGTAAGCCAATCGATTAGAGGTGGTTTGATACCTAGTCGTTTCAGCTTATTGATAAGACACAAGTAGTTAATCTTATCAAAAGCTTTTGAGAAATCAAGGTAAATGATATCAACATTTCCCTTGCGATCGAGGATGCTTGTCCATCTGTCCACCGCAGTCAGCAGGTTGGTTGTACAAGAGTAACCCTTCCTGAAACCATGCTGTTGGGGTGAGAAGAAATCTAAGGACAGTAGATAGTTGTTTGAACCGTCGCATATCAGGGACTCCATGAGTTTTGAAGGTAATGACAGAAGAGCCACCGGCCGATAACTTGAAGGTTCATTGCGTCGACGTCCTTTGAAAATTGGTGTGATGTGAGCCAATTTTCCGGTAATTTGCCTCGGCTTAGCGAGTGTGAAAACATCACGCTAAGCGGCGTTGCCAGGATTGAGGCTGCCTCCCTCAGTATGGCAGGATGAACCATATCCAGGCCAGTAGAAGTATCTAGCCTTAAGTGCTGCAATTTCCGGAACACCAAGTCAGCGCTTAGGTCCACTTCGGAAAGTCCTGTGGAATTGCAGATGAAACTGTCGTCGGTAGAGTTTATGTCAGCCGGTTGAAATGTTTGAGAGTAATGTGCCGCCAGAAGGTTAGCTGCGTCGCCATCGTTGTTGGTCGGGCCGTTAAGACCTACCAGTTGGGAAACTCCTGTTTTGGCTCGACGAAGAAAGGCTGCATAACGGAATAGGCTTCTAGGGTTAGAGGCAAATTTGTCCATAAGCTTCGTCTGGTACTGAAGCCTGTCTTCTCTTATAGCCTTCGTGCATATGTTCCTGATATGCTTATATCGCCTGTACGCTCAGTCGTTGTCAGTTCGTTTGTATTCCGCCCAACAGTGCCTTTTGCGGCTTAGCAGGCGAAGGGTACGGTTCTTGATTATTTTAGGTGGCTTGCAGCTTTTGGGAACCGTTTGAGGAACTGAATGGTTTGTAGCACATAAGAGCGTGTGCAGTAAGAAGTCCCAATGACCGTCCACATCGAGTTGGGGGTGAACATCCCAAACCACCTGTTGTAGATAGCCGTGTAGAGCTGGCACATTCAACCGTTTAAAATTCCAACGCAAGTTGTTGGTAGGGTATCTTAGCTTAGTTTTGCTGACAAAATTGAAGGCTATGACGGCATGATCGCTTTTTCCCAGGGGAGCCAAGATTGAGAGGTTGTCAACTAGAAATGCTTCGTTTGTGAATACACAGTCTAAGCTCGATTGCGTCTGACTGTTTCTCCAACGAGTTGCCGACCTCACATTTTCGTACAATCCCAAGTCATTGATGAGGTTGAAGAACCGAGCTCCAATTGAGTTGTCGCCTCCAGTATACGTGTG